ATTTTACAAGAAACTAGCCAAAAATTTCCCTTCCGTCTTGCAGCTAACCTCTCCACAAACTCCAGAACCAAAACAATATCCCCTCGCTTGTATCGACAAAAAAAACAAATTTTAAATGTTCCTTTATTGCCTAAACAAACAAATATTCTTTTTTTGACCCTCGACTAATAACGAAAAACAACTTTAATATTAGGGGAATTCATGATTTATTGCGTTTTTAACGAAGAAAACAAATAAAACCTTTTTTTTATCAGGGGGCATCATAAATTTACATAATACAAATTAACAAAATACGTGCGTATTTTAAACTTGAGTTTTACCTGGCTTATAACAAAGGGTTCGATATTTGAATCTAAACACAGACAAAAAAACATCTATATTTACTTTTGAATCGGTAGAAATATACGCATTTAAAAATCTCGTCAAAAAAACTTGAAATATTTACAACATACCTACATTTAACTTTATTGATCGATTTCTTGGTAGAAACAACAGGGACGTACCATAGAAATATTTTCTATACACTTTAAATAAAAAAACGCTACAATATAGATTTAAGATAGACTTTTAGATTCTCTATCGGACATATATCACTTAGCATGTCGGATAAACTGGTGAGTAGGCGATAATAAGACAGTTGTTGTTTATAATGTAGTGAGTCTATTAATATATTGTGATGTGTTACACAGCTGATTGCTGGGTGGGGTTACTCTTTGTGAAAAGGTATAAATGTGTTAGTCTTGAGTGTCCTAGACGTAATCTGGTTAGCACTGTTTGTAGGCGGTGATTGTCAATTATTGAGCATTAAGGTATTATGTCGTTTTTAACAGATCAAAGGTTAGATTGGCACCACTCGAGTTTCCATAAGCACAACAATTTCGACTTAAGCCACGATTTTAAGTCACACACAGTCAGTTTAAGTTTAAGTTTATGTTTGATCGGATTTATACAAACTTTCTTAGCTTATTTGTTTCCTGCATAATCAGAAGTTTGGATTTATTTCTCTTCTATTTGGTGTTTGGGATATAGATGTTGTCTGGCTGCGATAAAACTAAGAGAATCGGGAGAATAAGACTTCGTGGAATTTTCGAGGTATTTAAATATTTTAGAGTTTGGCATAAACTTCTACCGTAAAGATCATTGCTTCTGAGGGAAGCCTAAATATAAGATTAGCTGTTAGAGAAACTGTAGCTGAGCCAATACCATCATTAGATTTAGATACGCCTGTGAAGATAGTAATATAATATTTATGTACTTATAAGATGTTTATTGAGCTTATAATTAAGGTAATCGGAATATTCCGTTTTTCGAATTGAGTAAAAAAGATACATACTCCGGTGATTTTACTATTCAGATATTAAGATAGGGTGTGATTTTTATTTGATGCCACCGATATGGCATAAGTAAGTGTGCGGAGTCCGCATTCGCTGTATAGACTTTCTATTGGAGTCATGTGTCATGTCATGTGTTTTTAACATTGCTTAGATTGGGGATGAGTAGGATTAAACCGTAGTCGATTTTTGATCTAATAAGAGATTTATAAAGCATAAATAACGTGAAATGATCTGAACGTCAATCGCGGTTTGAAAGAGTTTTACTTCAAGTTAGAGGAACGTGATTGATGTGTTTTTTCAGATAAGTTTGGTCGAACCACATATCTTTTAATGATGCTTTAAATATAATTTTTTTATTCTAGAGGAAGAGACCGGGTGTAGTTGCAAATGTTTTCTTGGAAAATATTATTTCAATGGTTCTTATTTTTACAGTACACAGACTGTCACATGATCTTTACAGCATGGATTCCCTCTAAATGCTAAAGGATATTCTGTTACAGACTTCATACCCTCTAAGTATTATAAATAAATATTTGTTTACTGGTTCATACCAGAGACATTTACCAACTTTAGCTGAAGCTGAAGAATCAGATGCTTTATTACCAGAAGTAAGCCATCTTTCAAAATTCTCCCACGACACTTGCGTTGACATGTTGTATATCTGTTTAAAACTACATCATTTAAATATTACACCTAATATGTATTAATTACCAAAGTTAACATCATTTAAAGGGTTTTTACCCTCATATTTACTGATTTTCCTCATTTATGATATTACCACCTGGTAACTACCTTGATGATGAACTTATTAGTTCGAAAATGTTCTGTGACGTAACCCGAAAGAGCAATTTTACAATAAATCCACCTTTTACTGTATTATTTCGTTATTCCATGTGATATTTTAATAAAAAATATTAAAAATAAACGTGAGCAACTCTATATAACTGGTGTGACATTTTTAACGCAGTTAGTATACTTTTGCGGTAATAACACTCTCATATTGTTAATTTACATAATTCTAGTGTAGTGTAGTGTAGTGTAGTGTAGTGTAGTGTAGTAGAATTCTAGTTTAAAATTGAAAGTTTAGTTACTCGTTCAAAAACTGTTCTGGATAATTTTGTGAATTTTATTTTCTCTAACACTGTCACATTTAACCTAGGATGTTGGCAATATCTTCGTAGTCAGTTATCGTTTTTTTTATATGTGTATGTTACGTCAGTGAAGAAACTAAGACGAGTTTGCAGTATTTACGGAGTTGCAGCTTTGTAAATGATGGATAATACTGGTGACAGCAATACTCCTTGGAAAACTTGAATTTCTGGTAGTTTGACTTTGGAGCGACGTGACATGGGTATATAAGAACGACAACTGAAGCGTTACTTTCTCATGCAGAAAGAAATATATAACAAGTGTCTATCTACTATATCATCATACAGGGTGTAGCAAAATTGGTGCCTATAAGATTGAGATTTGCCTCAAAATGTTAGTTAACACAAACAGTTAGGAGTAAAAAAACATTGACACTTTTAGAATATTAAGCATTTAAATAAAACTCACAAATTTCCCGATATTCAACAGGTTTTTATTAAAGTCTGGCACAATGGTTTGCATATAATTTGCTCGAAGAAATATACGAGCATATAAAGGCGAGTATATAACAAGCAGCTTTCAAAGACCTTGGAGAGAAAGAACATATAACAAATAAACAGCACTATTATGAATTACATAAACCAAGAAAAGGATTAATTAAAGAAAAAAAGCACCTATACAGAAACTGGCTAACTACAAACAACGAAGAATTAATTAACTGGGAATAAGCCACAATTAAAGATAAAAATACGTTTATTGGCGTTTCAATTTCCACTTTTTTCCACGGAAATCGTTCTCAAAATACAAACAGTAAATTAAACAAATTTTGTTTTTTGTTACATAGTGAAAAATTCTTCTAATAATTTGATTTTATCTTACTCATTTATATTGACAATTCAGACATACATTATGCATTTTAAAGTAGACGACTTTAAAATGATATTGCCAATATTGTTGAGTTGCGCTCCTGGGACGACTTTACTTATAAGATAGTTCATTCGATTACATGAAATCAACTTTAACTTGAGATATCTGTCAGAAAAAAATCATAGCATGTAAAAAATGTTTAAAAAGACAAACACACGACATGATGACAGTAAAATTCTCCTGTTAGTGATTCCCTAGTAAATTATGAGGAAAAAACCGGGAAAAAAACCTCATAATACTATCCCGACATTGTAAGTATTTGTTCGTGTATTTAGTTTATTTACCTTCAATAAACACCAAAATTCTGATTTTATATGTTTCGTTATTTAAAAAACATAAATGATATATCCTCTATATGTTACTGACTTACTAATACTGGTATTTTCTTATTAATAACTTCTTCTTTCAATATTGAAGGTAAACTAAATGCACGAACAAACACTTACGATGTCGGGATAGTATTATGAGGTTTTTTTCCTGGTTTTCCCTCATAATTTACTATGGAATCACTAACAGGAGAATTTGACTGTCATCATGTAATGTGTTTGTCTTTTTAAAGACGAATTATATGCTATGATTTTTTTCTGACGGATATTCTCAAGTTAAAGTTAATTTCATGTAATCGAATGAACTATCTTATAAGTAAAGTCGTCTCAGGAGCGCAACTCAACAATATTGGCAATATCATTTTAAAGTCGTCTACTTTAAAATGCACTATGTGTGTCTGAATTGTCAATATAAATGAATCAGATAAAATTAAATTATTAGAAGAATTTTTCACTATGTAACAAAAAACAAAATTTGTTTAATTTACTGTTTGTATTTTGAGAACGATTTTCGAAGTGGAAATTGAAACGTTAATAAACGTATTGTTATCTTTAATTGTTGCTTATTCCCAGTTAAATAGTAATTAATTTAAAATGCCACAAGAAAATAGCTTTAGAACAATATCTTAGTTTATCTTTGATGTCTGCTATGAGTTTTACCATTATCATCTTTGAGTATCCCATAGTGTGTTCGCTTTTTGGTATTTGTTAGTTATTTTATTTTTTATTTAAATTAAAACTGTCATTTTTCTGTCATATTCTTAAATTTCTATGCATTTATCTGTTAACCACTTTTCCTTGGCCTTTCTATCTCTACTTTAATTCTACGTTTAAATTAATTTAATTTAATTTATTTTAATTTAGCATTTGTTTAATATAATTTATTATTGATTTAATTATTATTTAATTTTTAATAGTAGTATTTTTGTTTTGGTTAGGATATTCTATTTTTGTAAAAATGGGGACATTCCGTGAATCAATAAATAAATAGATTGTTTCTAAACTCAAAATTTTATTGGTTCTGTATTTCGACAGTAAATAAAATGATAAATAAATATTTATTTTCAAATATGTGATCTTAATCCCATGAAATATTGAGCAAACTGAAACGCTACCAATAAATAGATTTCGTAAAATTCCATTTTTAAATCGATTACATCGGATTGTCGGCGTGCCGATGGAAATTTAAAATACCTGGGGGAACATACTTTAAATTATTTAGGAGAATATTTTAAAGCGTTAACACAGGCAGCGTCAGATATTTTTTAAATACCAAAGGGAATTCCTGCCACTTTTTATTTACCTCCACCTACAAAAAATTTACCTCAAACAAAAACGATTTATAATGTTTGATCGGAAGCGTGACTCTTCTGTTTTTCATTTTGTAAAATAAATTGACTTTCTGCTGCTCACGTTTTCTATTCATATTCAGAATAGGGCTAGGTTAATAAAATGTTTCGCTTTTTTTTCCAGCCAATTCCGTGAAGAATAAATAATTACTATACTGGATTGTTGTTGCTAAATAAAATACGCTAAAATACGCTAAATAAATACGCTAAATATTATTCAATCATTGTTATTCAATCTGTGCAGTGAAGCTACTTTTATGGGAGCAATATCAGAGAAACAATAGGGTATATCAATAAACGGAAAAATCTTGAACAACATAAGATTCGTAGACGACACCGCTGTTTTTGCAGACAACCTAGAAGCACTGCAATGATTAGTAAATAGATTACATCAAGTCAGTATAAAATATGGACTACAAATGAACGTTAAGAAAATCAAGTGCATCATTATTTCTAAACAACATACAGTAGGAGATTAGATATCGAGAGACAACAAGTAGAAAGAGTGAATAATTACCAATATGTAGGAATCTAGGTAAATGAAAACAATGACCAAGGTAGAGAAATAAGGACACACATTGAAATTGCAAGACAAGTATTTATAAAAATAAAATCAATGTTTGTTAATCGAGACCTTTCTCTGGAGCTGAGAATCAAAGCCTTAAAATGCTACGTATTCTCGACTTTGTTGTATGGAATGGAAAGCTGGACACTAAAAGTGGATAACTTCCTCATAAGACATTTTTAAATCATCATTATTTTTTGCTGATATAAGGTAAGTCATATCATTTGCAAATTGTATGGATTTTTACGGAGATATGGATTTAGACAAATCGTTGATATAAATAATAAATAAAAGAGGCCTTAAGACTGAACCTTGTGGGAGTCCATGTTCTACTGATAGAAATTTGAAGAGATGACTTTAGATACTATCGCCAGATGTCCGCCACATAGATAAGAGGATATAAGCTTAAGAAGTATAGCTCTGATTATATAGTAATTTAATTTGTATAGCAAAATGTCATGTGAAACGCTGTCAAAAGCCTTTGACAAGTCGCAAAGAGAAATTGCTATGCGATTTCCGCGTTAAAGCCCATCAATAACCTGGCTCACAACATTAAATATCACGTTCGTAGTAGAACGAGCACTTCTGAATCCATATTGTGAGTTTCTAAAGTAAAAATATTATTATTACTATTATTATTACTTTGCCAGTATAGGAGGTCATATAAATTTTGATCCGCAAGAAAAACATTGATGATATCGACTTTATTTGAAATACACTGCAAATTAGCATGAAACATGCTTACCGTACCTTATCGAATTAGTTTATTTTAATAAAAGTTTGCGGAAGCTTCTAGGTTTCTTCCTCCGTCTTCTATATATGCTAAAAATTTCTTTTAAAGTTAAATATCCTAACTGCACCTTCTTTGGGCCAAATATTAGGTTTGTAGACTTCGTCAATTTTATCGAAAGGGAAAGAGACCTTATATGTGGAGTATTTGTCAGTTCTATGCCATTCCACGCAGTTAAAAGTAATATCGGGTACTGTCTCACCCAAGAATTTTAGATTATCGTCTTTCATATCAACAGCTATGCGGGACACATGTACATGACCTTGTCTTGGAATGGTGTTTACAGTAGACGATTTGTTGCTTGCAATAATCGGTTTGTATTTGTTTTCTTTTTTTGATTGGGTATTCCAAGATGAGTTTCCTATTTTTAGATTATTTTCATTTTCTTTTTGTTTATTACTCATATATGAATGAGGTCGACTTGTGTTTTTGTTTAATGACAATTTAATGGGTTCTTGACTGGTAGTACAAGAGTTTCTCGGGTCTGCTTTATGATAGCCAACATTACTAGATGATCACAATATCATCTTTTATTCTTTTTGCTTCTAGCTATGAAATCGATATCATCTGCAAATATTAGTATGTATACACATTTTGATATTGTGTGTGCACTGTATATATAAAATATAGTGTGTGTTTTTATTAAATTCACTATGTTTTCTAGGTTCTGCTTTAACACGGTCTATTGTGGACTCCTGTTGGCAAAACCTATAATTGTATCCATCTTAATTTTTGTTGCCGCTAACTTTATCTAATATCTATAATATATCTATCAAATATAACAAATGTTTTCAAATATAAAATCACTTACCGATAAAATATACCCATTTACAATTGAGATAAAATGAACACCCCATTTCACACGAAAAATTTAACGCTATTACGAATATTATCTTCACGAATGCCCGTATATTTCCAAGGATGGTCGGTGTTTCACAAATTACCTGAAATCAAACTGAAAGATAAAGAAATGAAAATTTCTACCACAATCTAACTATATCCCCCGACGACACTAAAAGGCGTACAAAAGGATATGTTATCCCTTTTCTAGAAATTCACTGACTCGTGAAAAGATATTAGCATATTATCTGTGGCCATTCGGATAGATCGTTCCATTTTATTTGATTGCCTTCAATTGCTATAACCATTGTAGCGTTAAATAATGTATTTGATGCATTTTTCGCTTAAAGCGAGATAAAGTTGATAAAATTCAAATCGATTAAATGTTTGTAAATCTTGGACAAATTTCATAGAATGGTTAATATCTGTATTCATCCCAATAACAAAAAACCGAACGTAATGAAATCGAAGGGCGCAGAGGAATTGGTAGAAAGCAGGCCTCTTGGTTGAAGAATATCAGGGAGTGGACAGGAATAAAGAAAGCTGAGCAACTATTTAGAATAGCTCGAGACAGAGACAGTTTCGCCATGTTAATCGCCAACGTCAAGGGGACTTGATAGGGCACGTTAAGAAGAAGAATAAAATGGAAAGAATATACAACCTTTCAGTAGATGCAGTTTGTCTAGGAGACCGTTGGGAGTCAATGACGGTCAATTCTAAAGCCAATCGGAAGCTTCTGATTTTCTCCGGCTCTGTACCTTCTTTTGATAGCTACATTTATCCATGGTACAATGTATTCATTGTACCATGCACTTATCGACTGTCGTGTATCATTGCAGTGTTGATGGTCGAACTGTAAGTTTTGTTATTTGTAAAACAGGTGCAGTTGACCGGGTGCGTCTATAGAAGTAGTAGAATTTTGTGACTTGTAAGTAATTGTTTTATAATAAAACTCTATATTTCAGATATTATGGATTATCAAAAAGGGCAAAAAGATGGTCAGCTATTTTTTTTTTTAAAGTTTCGATTGAAAATAAGTATGCTGATGAAGAGAAATTGGGATAAAAGATCATGTAGAAAAAAAACTTGGAAAAAAGCGATATGGAACAGAAAAATGAGAAATTAGATGATCAGACAGATTTTGCCATTGGTCCATTATTTTGGGGCAAAGATAATAAAACAAAATTGAACTAAGCATATTGCGCCTAAGAACGTCAGAACTCTAAGTGAGAATATCGTTCTGCAGCTTCCAGTTTTAAAACAATATGGGAAAAAATAAAATTAGGAATAGGTTTAAAACAAATATAATCCAAAATCCCTAAAGTTTCACTTTACAACACTATACAATATACACGGGTATTATACGACATAATTTAAATAAAAAAAGAGCTTATGCAACTTAGCTACATAAAAAATGTAAATAAATAAGGCAGAGCAAGTAGAAACTTTAATAATAAACAAGATGCAAAAAGTATTAATTCAGCACCAAAACGAACAGTAATAAAACTACAAAAGTTGAAGAAAGAATGGCCATCGTCTTTTGAAACGATGCTGACGTATATTTACCATAGATTACTTTAAAAATTTGGTGAATGCTACCGCACCCGCCTTACGGCGCACTCGCCTTTTTTCACAATTTTTTAATTCATCCAATGTTTGCTTGCATTGTTTATGGTTTTGCAAAGACGATAATAAATTCTTTTTCCCGAAATTTCTCTCCAAACTATTTGGACTAGTTTGGAGTTTAACTATTAGTTAAAGGATAAAATATTTATTGTTACATATTATATAACCCAGTTAGTTTTTCCTGATTTATGCTAATTTGAGGAATTCCTTTTCATTATTCATCGTTGTAATCTGTGTTAGTTGTGGCTTTGGATACTTCCAGAATCTTTAAAATATCCCGATTTCAAAATCCACGTTCTTATTTCCTTACCTACTTGAGGATGGTAAACTCAGAGAAAGAACAAAACGAAGATGAAGAAATAATTCACCACACAGCAGAACAACTATTTGAACAACCAACATTGGAAGAAACGATAAACGTCATAAAACATGTAAACAATAACAAAGCACCTGGCACAGATAGAATAACTGCAGAATTTATCAAGAATAGTAAACATGTCCCATGGAGGCGTATCCATAAACTAATCGACCTCATATGGACACTAGAAGTCATCCCAGAAGATTGTAAAGTAGGAATCATACTTAATATGTACAAAGGGGGAGACAAACGACTCTGCAAATATTATAGGGGCATAACAGTTTTAAATGTTGTCTACACGATATTATCAGGAATTATATACAGCCGCCTGGAATGGTTTTCGGAGGAGATGATTGTTGAATACCAATGTGGCTTCAGACCAAAAAGGTCAACTATAGACCAAATACATATGTTAAGAGGTATACATGAAAAATGTGTTGAATATAACATACCATTGACAACTTGTATATCGATTTAAAACAGGCGTTTGATGAAGTAGTCATTCGCCTACCGGCGAAAAATCGCTGATAAATTGCAATTTTTGATTTTGCATAGGGAGAAAAGTCTACATGTGTGCTACCCCTACAGTCAGTTGGCCTAACCACAGTCAATAAAAACAGAGGGTGTTTCATTACCCAGGGCACCTAAGTAACTTTCAGACCATAAGACTCCTCAAGTAAGTCACAGGATGAGGAGAGGTGGAGGAAAAGCCTGGGGGTCAGATAGGTACCACTTCAACTACTGAAGTGTGACCGGTTTGATCTTCGGACATGTGAATACCATGTATACATGTATATACATGGTATATACATGTTCCTTAGGGGCAGGGTTGATCACCTGAATATATATATAT